TCGCATTTCCCCCTTCTTCTAAGGACATCCATGCAACCATTCTGTTTTTCATTTTCAGGACAGTATTCAGTAAATTACATGAGATATTCAACACTTCATTATAAAATAGGCTTTGTTAGATGATTTTGCCCATCTATACACTAATATTAGTGTTCTGAGCATGTTTAAGGTAGGCTAGGCTAGGTTATGATGTTCAGTAAATTAGGCATGTCCAGTGCATTTCCAACTTAACGGTATTTTCCATTTATGATGAGTTTATCAGATGTAACTGCATCATATTGTAAGTTGAGGAACATCCTGTAGTATATAATCTCATCCCACCATCCTTTCTACTAACTAGCAGGCTGGTGTTGGGTGAGATGTGGTAGCTTTCCAGGACCAGAGTTTCCTAATCTATAGAATGAAGGAGTTGGTCCAAGTGATTTGTCTCTTCTGGTCCCACTTGTCCATTTACATGTTGTCCATCTTTCATACCTTTCCAGTTGTCACAATTAAGCTCATAGCATTGCAACTTCAAAGTTTACAGACTTTTTTTTTGTTTTTGAGACAGAGTCTTACTCTGCAGCCCAGGCTGGAATGCAGTGGCGCAATCTTGGCTCACTGCAACCTCCGCCTTCCGGGTTCAAGTGATTCTCCTGCCTCAGCCTCCCAAGTAACTGGGATTACAGGTGCATGCCACCATGCCCAGCTAATTTTTATATTTTTAGTAGAGATGGGGTTTCACCATATTGGCCAGGCTGGTCTTGAACTCCTGACCTCGTGATCTGCCCACCTCAGCCTCCCAAAGGGCTGGGATTACAGGTATGATCCACCTTGCCCAGCCAGATTTTACAGACTTTTAAGACCCGGGAGAACCGCAGAAGTTCATAAACTCCTGATCTGCCAATAGAGCCCTTCGTAAAAGAAAGGTGGGAAAGGCAGAAGGTCTTCCACCTTTCAAGAGGAGTGGGGCACCATTGGCTTGAGGACTGGACAATTCTTTGTTGTGTGGGACTGTCCCATGCAGTGCAGGATGTTTATTATCCCTGGGTTGGGCTCCAATCCCCACTCAATCACGCATTCTGGCCACCCAGACACTCCCACACACATTGCCAACTGCCCTCTCAGTGGGCAACATCATGACTTTGAGAACCAAAAACCAAGAGATGTAAAAAGTAGACATAGCCCAGTCGACTAGAGGAACCTCTTACACAGCACCTGTTATAATTTATAATCACTAAATATTTACAGTACAAAAAACCCTCCGACCCATCTTGTGCCCTCTCTTCACCCAGATTGGGTCTTCTCATTCTTCCCTCCCAGATAGTTTCCCTCCTTCTCCCCTCTGGGCCTCCAAGCATTACATCCTTCCAGAAATGGCCTGAGGTCATGGAAATGTCCCTTCCTTCCCCACTGCTGCTGTTGATGGTGATTATCCCAGCCACTTTCCCAAGTACTCATTCTCTTGGGGAAGGAGAAAAGGAGGGGCACTAGGGATAGCTCCATCTTTGTCAAATCAAAACCCAACTATGGCCAAGTCTAAATAATCAAGAGGTGTCTATGCTGGTGGTTATATCAAAAAGTAAAAAGACACTTCCGCTTCTCAGCTGTCTAGCTTGCACCTCCCTGGAGCCATAAACTGTATCTCTTCTTTAACTAGGCATTTCTTGTGCTCAGTAACTCAGCACCCTTGAACAGCACTTATCTCTGCAGTCAGCACTGTACATCAAATTGCCCTGCCCCTCTTGACCTTTGAGACGTCACTGATCAGGGGGTTCCAGGCAGGTGTGGTTAGTGACACAGAGGTGTGGCAGAGAGGACATGGCCCTGAGAAGTCTGGGCTGGCAAAAGGAGACAGTGGACAATAAAACAAAAACTCAACGCTAAAGAAAAAATAATAATGAGAGTTTGAAGCAGTGGTTATTAACCTACATCTTCTCTTCTCCCCCCACTTTGCTGTCAATTCCTGGAGGAAGGAGTTCGTCTTGTTCCCCACTGTATTTCCACACCTGGCACCCTGTGTGGCACCCAATGGTCTCCAGTCTCATTGGCATCTATTATGTTCTCCAGTTCACAAAGCTCTTTCCTATTTTGAGCCTTAGCACAAGCTAAGAACATCCGATTTGGAGCACTTTCTCTTTTTAAATGATGAACTCCTTACCTTTTAATTCACAGCTTCAATGTGAGCTCCTTGAAGAGCCGTAACTCCATTTAAAGCAAAGTACACACACACACACACACACACACACACACACACACACACACACACAAGGGTTAGTCTTTATTCTAGTGTCCTGCTTATCCTCTCCATAGCCCATATGACAATTTATAATTACTTATTTGTTTGTTTCCTATATAGAAATTTGACTGCAAGTTCTAGGAAAATTCATATCCATCCTGTCCATCTTTCCAGCATTTAGCACATCCAAGACACTCAATAATTAAAAGAAAAAAATAATTAATATAAAAAATCAGAATTTAACAAACCTATATAGAATTTTACACAGGAAATTAGCTTTATGTTATATGGGAATTTAGCTTTAAATAAAAGTGGCATCTTAGACCAATAGAGGAAAAGTGTACTATCCAATACCCATCTAGGGTTCACTAAATAACAAAAACTAAGCTGCCTCCTTTTGATATAGTCTGGATGCGTGTCCCCTCCCTATCTCCTGCTGAAAGGTAATTCTCAGTACTGGATGTTGGGCTTGGCAGGAGGTGCTGAAGCGTGGCAGATCCCTCATCAATGGCTTGGTGCCATCCCTTGGTGCAAGAGAGCTCTTGCTCTGAGAGCAAGCTCTGGTTGTTGAGAAATGTGCAGCACCTCTGTGCTTCCTCTCTTGCTCCTGCTCTCGCCATGTGACACACTGGTTCTCCATTGCCTTCTGCAATGATTGTAAGCTCCCTGAGACCCTCCAGAAGGAGACGCTGGCACCAAACTTCCTATATAGTGCAGAACCATATGCCAAAATAAAACCCCTTTTCCTTATAAACTACCCAGCCTCAGGTATTTCTTTATAGCCATAGAAGAACAGCCTAACACACCCTTCCTTCCTTAATCTATATCAAAATCAATTCCAGATGAATCAAAGATACAAGCCTTAAAAAAATTAAGCCATTAAAAAAACTGAAAGGAACACTTGTATAAGAAATTTAAGCATCTTAATGCTGACATGGTTTTTCTAGGCAAGTCAAAGAATAAAAGATTGATATATTTGAATACATCAGAGCTGACATTTTCTTCACATATATACCCTCAAAACATAAACAAAGACGAAAGATAACAAACTGTGGAAAAATAATTGTCACACTTCACAAAAGCCTAGATTTGATTAAAAATAAAGTGTTTTATAAAAAAATAATGAAAATACTAATAATTCAACAAAAAAAATAAAGGACACAAGCAAACCACAGGAAAAAAAAATCACACAAATGACTTTAAAGAAATGGGATATATAATTTCAGGGATATCAAATGAAAGAAATGTAAATTTAATAATACCATAGTTTTATCTTTGAAATTGGCAGACATGAAAAAGTTTGAAAATATTTAGTGTTAGCCAATATGTGGGGAAAAGTACACTGGTATATTAATATAGTGAGAGTGAAAAATTCATCTTTTGAAAGTCAGCCTCATGGATCAGCTGGCCTTTGAGAGTGGTCCAGCATTTTATGTCAGTGTGGAGGACAACTTGCCAACATCTATTGGAATTTTCAGTATGCATAGTCTTTAGCCAGTAACTCTATTTTAAATTTTTACTCTACAGATGAGAAAGCATAAGTGAAATGTATATGAAATATTCATGCAAAAGACCAAAAGCAATCTAAATGACCTTTAATGGTGGATTGATGAAATAAGCTTTGGTTCATCTCTGTAACAGATTACTACATAGCCACTGAAAAAGAAATGTGCCAATGTCATATATTTCTTTAGTATATGAAATGTACAAGCCATGAGACCACTACATTTAGTGAAACAAGCTACACGCAAAAAGACAAATATCACATGTTCTCCCTTATATGTGGGAGCTAAAAAATTTGATCACGTGAAGGTAGAGATTGGGTAGATGGAGAACAGACACTGGGCAGGGTGAATTGTGGGGGTGTGGGGGAAGAAGACAAGTGAGTGAAAGGGTATAAACACACCCTAAGATGGAAGGAATAAATTCAATGTTGGATAGTAGAGTAGGGTGGTTGTACTTAACAGAAATCTATTGTACTCAGGTGAACTCCTCAATACCCTGACTTGATCAATACTCATTATATACATGTAACAAAATGTCTTATATTCCCCATAAATTTGTACAAATAAAAAAAGGAACATGTTATGATAACCTACTCAGAAAAAAAGGAAAGAAAAGAAAAGGCATGGAAGATAATACATTGTACAAATCCATTTGGTGAGGGAGAAAAGACAAGTCAGATGAAGATAAACAGAAAGATAGGTAACTAGACAGGCAGACATAGATGAATGTGCATGGACCACTTCTGGAAGGACTCACAGAAATGACTCATCTGAGGAAGGGATAAAGAGTCTGCAGACTGACTTTTCATGGGACCTTTTTATATTATTAGAAACAAATTAACCATCTGCACATATTACTTTTTAAATTAAAAACTCAGTAAAATTTTAAAAATGATCTAGCATAATGCAATGTAGCCTTCAAAAATTCTCTGTAATAATAATAACAATGTTAGTTAAAAAAAAGAGTAAGATTTTTCTATCTGGTTAATGCTGTCATTATTAAAAGGCATAATATTTTAAACAAACACCCAAAATATGAAAGAATAACTCTCTCAACAATTCAGAAGTGAGGCAGATTTAGTCTTTTAGGTGGTAAGAAGCTATTCAACTTTAAAAGCCTAAGCTTTATTTATTTAGAAGTATATTATTTTAAAAACATGGCTACCAAGGAAACTTGGGCAGTCTAAGTTCATCTGTAGCCAGAGCCACTCCCGATCCATCCCCAACAATGTATTCAAATTCAATGCTAAAAGTTACTTATTAAACACAAGAGATATGCCCTGGGAAAACCACTGTAAACTGCTTGTAGGAGAACTGATCTCTTAATAAAATACAGAAAAACCATCTCAGAAAAAGGAAAATGGGCAATCGTCATGTAAGTATTCATTGCCTTTGGGAATTGGTTTTAATTTTGGTTAGCCTGTGGAAGAATTTAAATTATAAAATCATGACTGATACTTGTATACTTTATCATTATGATTACCCTTTAATATTGGTTTTAGAAACAGCATACCATGCTTTTAAAATGTATTGAGGCGAGGTGCAGTGGCTCACACCTGTAATCCCAGCACTTTGGGAGGCCGGCTAAAAAAAAAAAAAAAATACGAAAATTAGCCAGGCTTGGTGGCGCATGACTGTAGTCCCAGCTAGTCAGGAGGCTGAGGCAGGAGAATCATTTGAACCTAGGAGGCAAATGTTGCAATGAGCTGAGATTGCACCACTGCACTTCAGTGTGGGCTACAAGAGTGAAACTCTGTCTCCAAAAAAAAAAAAAAAAGTGCATTGGGAATATATTTTTCCCTCATCGGCCAAAAATCTCTTAAGAGGGGCTAAAGAGAAAGAACTATATATAATAAGGCAGTAAATAGAGCCTTGCAGAGAGCAAATGGTTAATATATACCTGTAGAATGTATAACTAAAGCTGTTAGTTTATAGCAAATTTGTACAAAACTTCATAAACTGAGCAAAAGCAGAGTTATGTGGGAAAGTTAGGTTCATGTTGCAAATATTAATAGTCCAAGGTAAATACTCCTATGAATCCATACAACTTGGATTGAAAGGTGAAAATATTTCAGTATTATTTCTAAACCTCCAGATATTTGCAAATATCCATGGAATGGACTTAATATGTTTAGGCTCCTGAATGGTGTGTCTATAAGTTGTCAATGACTAAAAACTGACTAAAACACCACCTTTTGGAACCAACTACACACAAGACAGATGAGAGTTGAATCCTGATTTTTTTTTTTTTTTGCATTGAAGTATATCTAAAGCTATTCCAATACAAATCTTAATACGGTTTTACACACCTGCTGTAACTTCCCACAGCAAGAATGATACATTTTGTGCACACTATGGGCAGAGAATAAAACTCTAAAATTTTCTGAAAACTGTTACTTTGTCTGTATGGTTTTTCCTTCGCTAGACAGATGTTTACAAACTTACAAATATAGTCTTAGAAAAGGCATTGTTTTTTAAATCATCTACAAATAGCATTTTCATACTAGCAGAGATTATGAACTATCCATTCAGTGTATCCTTCAGAGAAACTGAAGCCTACTTTTCAAATACTTCTGATAGATGCAGAAAACCCCAGGATAATTGGCCCCTACATTCACAGCTTAGGAGGACAATTTTGTTTTTTGAAGTCAACCCCAGGGGGCAGCTGGCCTTGAGAAGAAGACCAGCATTTGTATGTTTTTTGTTTTTTTTTTCAATCCTCAGAGCCAGTCGTATACCCTCTCAGAAGGCAGTCAGCAGTTGCCCAAAGGGGACACCCAACCCTCGACAGCCGTGCAGCCTCTCAGCCACCCAACAGGAAATGGAGAGCCAGAGTCCCCGCAGTCTGTAAGCCCTTTATTTTCCCTCCAGATCATAGGTATGACCCCTGCTCTCTCGTGGGTGCAATATAAGTCCCCAGTGACCTGTCATGTTGGAGCCTCCACCAGCCACCAGCCATCATCAGGCATGACTTCCAAGCAGGGAAATTTTTTCCTGCAAAATGTTTGTTACTATATTTGCAGGTAATGTAAAAATGAAATCTTACCTGTGGGCTTTGTTTCTGTTCCCAACAGTGTCTCATTAACAACCTCTTGAAATCAAACACATGAGGCTAGACCAGGACCACTATGACATTTCAGAAAATAGGAAAGGAACTTAATGTGTGCACGAAGAATGAATGCATGCTAAAAAGTAAATACAAAATATTTTCAAAGAACCAAAAATCATCCCAGTAATGGCTTCCCTTATCTGCATTAGAAGTTACTAATGCAACTTATTAAAGAATATGTACAGACATGAAACTAGAATGCTGGTGGTTTTGAAACAACTATACAACCCAAACAAACATACAAATTAAATGATAAAATACAAGTCAATGCTGTTTAAATGTAAGTTATCAACATAGCATAATAGACAATATTATTTTGTTGAGATTAAATGGCTGTGCTCAACATGAAATGGTCCCAGTCACTATAATGCTGGGATTTTGGGAGTTTTATTGGGTTTTTGTTTTGTTTTGTTTTCTGAGTCTCAGCAAATCTAAAATATGATGTGGTATGTGACCTCTGAGTTCTTCTATCATATTTCTCTTATTGAACCTACTGAGAAACTTTTGTTTGTAAGGCTCCCTGTAATGCCATGGGATCTTCTTTTGGCTCACAATGATGATTCTATTAAACCTCCCTCTGTTCCCTCTTCTTTCATCATTAGCCTGCAAGAATTGAAGTATGGCTATTTGGCATATAAACAATCATAAACACAAACAGAAATGCAGACATTGAAATCATGAGCCAAGGCTTACTCATCTTGATAATCTAGCATGCTTTATATTAATTTTAAGTTGTTATCAGCATGAAATACACTATTTCAAAAGACTCCTAGAAAAGTTTTGATTCCCCAAGAAAATGTCCACAGACCAGGGCCTATGATAACTGACAAATATTATCATAGAGCCAGTAGAATATTGGCCAGGAAATTGCATTTTTCAAGGTACTGTCATCTAAAATCGTAATCAATCCTGAAACAAAAATTACTTTTGTGCTATCCTCTATCCTTTGGTCACTATTAATGATTTTTTTGAACTGAAGACATAGTGTTTGTGAGTAACCTATTTGGAGCAGAAGTAACCAAGATACTGTGTCATTATCATTCGCCAAATCACACAATGTTCAAAGAATTTCCTTATCCTGGAGGACATGTCCTTTTGTTCAATGAGCTTTGCAGATAGAGTAGACCCAGAGAGAAAGATCAGATCAGTGGAAAAATCTGCTTAGGTTTAGCTAGATGACTCTTTTACTGTCTGAGTTGTTCTCATAAGAATCACTATCTAGAGAAAAATAGAAAAGTGAGATCAATATTAAGATTACTTTACCACGGGAGTGTGGCTATAGGATAAGGGCAGAATGAAGAGAGAGCAAGACCTAGTGGAGCCATTGATAAATGTGGAAATAATCACAAACTCAAATGGACTCATGATTTCTGGGAAATTACTTGCAAAGCTAATGAATAGGCACTAGAAAGGACTACAGACTTGCTACTCAAAGTATGGTCCCTGGATTCATAGCAGGACCCACATTGCCTGAGCACTTGTTAGAAATGCAGATGTTTAGCCCACTCAGATCTATGGAATCATAGTCTGGATTTTAACAGACTCTTCAAGGGATTTTCAGGCACATTAAAATCTTAGAAGCATTGGACTAGGGAATGCATTCTCAAACTTGCCTGCATTGAGATCACCTGAGGAGTTCTCAAAGCCACCAATGCCTGGGTCCCACCCCTAGAGTCTGAATTAATTGGTCTGGTGGCTGTCCTGGGCATCAGGGTTTGTAAATGCTTCCCAGCTGGCTTTAATGTGGTGCAGAGTTTGAAAAACACTGAAGTGGAGAATACAACTAACATTACAAGAGCTCGGCACACCTGGGACAAAGGCAGATGGTCATTGCACATGCTCATAACTGAAAACCGATTTGTAAATGTTAGAACATCTGTTCAGCGGTCTGCCCCGTAGTTTGTGAACATGCCACGTTTATGACTTGCTTGTGCCAATATTTAGCCAACATATATATTATCTCCAGTGGAAAATAGTTTGGGACTTGTGGCAGGTGAATACCAGGTGAGCTCAGATGAAGGTGGACCAAGAACAGCCTGCATGACAGGTGGGGTTCCTGAGAAAAGAAGAGAGGCTCTGAGGCAGGTAAAATATGGCTGGGAATTTGAAATTAAAATAAGTATGGTCTTAACCAAGGATGTGCACTAAACTGTGATCCCAAATCCAGAAGACCCATGGTCAAGCCTTAGCAAAAAGCAGTCTAGATCATGCAGTCATACCTCCTCTTAAATAAATAAATAGGATCAGGAAATATTACTTTTTTTTTGAGACAGAGTCTTTCTCTGTTGCCCAGCTGGAGTGCAGTGGCACAATCATGGCTCACTGCAGCCTCAACCTCCCTGGCTCAAGTAATCCTTCCACCTCATACTTACTTCCAAGGAGGTGGGACTACAGGCATGTGCCACCATGCCCAGCTAATTTTTTGCAACAACAGGTCTTCCTATGTTGCCCAGGCTGGTCTCAAATTCCTGGGCTCAAGTGATCCTCCCACCTTAGCCTCCCAAAGTTCTGGGATTATGGGTGTGAGCCACTGCACCTGAGCTTGGGAAATCTTTTATCCCAGAAAGCTGGTCCTTCAGAACACCACTGCAGAAGTTCAGTTCAGTATTCTTTTAAAGAAACTGCCCCGAGCCAGATGCTCTTTGAGGATCTGCAAATAAGAAGAAGAATTAGACAAAAGACCATGGTTCATGCTCTCAAAATATCTCAGTCTTACAAGAGATGCAGACCCATACATAATTACAATGATGTGTAATGGATGCTCTCATAGAAACATGGCCATCATCACACAGTTCAGAAATAGGACAGTGGAGAGAGTGATTCTACAGAGGAGAAATGAGTAGAAGCAGATTCTTAAAGTGGACTGTTTGCAGAGCAGGAACACTTGCAAAGGAAGTATAGAGAAGCAAGTACATTCATAGAGCTACAAAAGACAAGTGCTGCTGGCATGTGTAGCTTTAAACACTTAGTACATCATAGGGAAATTGCCTATGCAGCTGTTATCCTCTCCTGCTTGGCTGAAAGTGTCTACAGGGCAGACACTGTTCCTTAGTCATTGCTGCATCCTTTGGACTTGATACATAACAGGGATGCCATAAATATTTTTGATAGAAAGATCTATGAACAAGGAGATAGACTAGTAGACAGGTGCACAGGGGTGAGACCCAAAAACCCTTGTAGGCTATGCCAAGTGTATTAGTTTCCTAGGGCTACCATACAAAATACCACAAACTGGATAGCTTAAACCACAGAAACATATATTCTCAAAGTTTTGAAGTGTAGGAGTTCCAAACCAAGGTGTTGGCAGGGCCAGGCTCCCTCTGCAGGTTTTCGGGTAGTATCCTTGCTTGCCTCTTCCAGCTTCTGGTGGCTCCAGGTGTTTCTTGGCATGTGGCAGCATAACCAACCTCCACCTCCATCTTCACATGGCCTTCTCCTCCTGTGTGTGTCTCTAGGTTCTTTTCTTATAAGGATATTGATATGGTTTGGCTGTGTCCCCACCCAAATCTCATCTTGAATTGTAGCTCTCAGAATTTCCAATGTCATGGGAGGGACTCAGTGGGAGGTAATTGAATAATAGGGGTGAGTTTTTCCTGTGCTGCTCTCATCATAGTGGCTATGTCTCTGGAGATCTGATGGTTTTATAAAGGGAATTTCCCCTGCACATACTCTCTTGCCTGCTGCCATGTAAGACATGCCTTTGCTCCTCCTTCACCTTCTGCCATGATTGTGAAGCCTCCTCAGACATGTGGAACTGTGAGTCCATTAAACCTCTTTTTCTTTATAAATTACCCAGTCTGGGGTATGTCTTTATTAGCAGCATAACAAGCTAATAAAGACACCAATCATTGGATTTAGGACACACTCTAAATCCAGGATGATTTCATTTTGAAATCCTTAACTAATTACTATCTGCTAAGTCTCTCTTTCCAAATAAGGTGACTTCTGAGGCTGTGAGTAGACATGAGTTGGGATGAGTGGGTGGGGGTGGTACTGTTCAAACTACGATAAGGAAATAAGGTTTTATTACCTAAGTCTATTAGTGATTTTAAACTTTAGCACATTAGATTTCCTTGGAAGGCTTACTTAAATAGAGAGCTGGATCCAACCCCCGAAGTGTTGATTCAGTAAACACTCTAAGGTGGAGCCTGAGAATTTGCATTTCTGAGTTCCCTGGTGAGGTTGACACTGCTAGGCTAGGAAGCACACTTTGAGAACTGCTTACTTAGGCATAGGAAAACCCTAATCAGGATCAGACAAAGGAATAGCAACTTCAGAGCTGCTTTTAGCTAGACCATGCTGGAAGCTGGTGGAGAAGGGCTTGGAGAGAAACATGATCACAGGCAAATCAAGCATTTGGGAAGCAGTGGCCCTGGGGAGAAATGAGGACCGTCTGCCGCCTCCGCCCTCATCAGCTGAAATAACAACAGTGGCATTAGGGAGAAGGAGATAGAAGAGAGTCAAATGAACATAACTTGCTAAGTGGGTGTGCAAGGTAAGGGAAAGGAAGATGACAGTGACTCCAGGTGCCTTGTCTAGCTCATGTGCCCAGGTGGATGGTGGCACATCCCAGGGACATAAGGCAGTGACAGGTTGACTTCGGTTTGGGGAGCTATAGAGTTTGAGATATCTTTGGGAAGTATGAGTTCACAGTTGTTTTCGTTTGTTTGTTGAACAATTAGTATGTGTTTGATCACAAGTAGCCGCCACAGGACTCACTTTGGTTTAAATAACAAAG